TTTGTATCAGTAGATTGCTCATCATAATTATCTCTTGCGAGGTTTGTTATGCCAAGTTTATAAAATAGGAGCTAATTTGATCAAGATGCATGTAAAACATGAGTGACCATGAAAGTAATTTAGTTGAACCCTAAAAGGTTAAACCATGAAAAAAGAATGAAGAAGAATGACATTGTTACTATTGTTCATGAGCACCATAGAAGGACCATATTTGTATAATCGAGATGAAATAACTAAGGAAAGGCGATTGCAAGTAGTATGAAATTTTGAACAATAATAAAGCAAAAACAGGAAAAGGAAAGAAGAAAGCAAACGGGGAAACAATATGAAATCATTTACTAATTCGCATACCTATCTTTTAAGCACCCTTCGATTGAAAAAGGTCATCGCACTTTAAATGCATTAGATGAATCTATTTGTTGCAAATAGTAATATACCTACATATTTTGCAAAAAGATTTAGGACCAATCGATTAGTAATCATAAACTAAAAGTTCTTAACACTATATTTAAGGGTAATTTTGGTTTTGGAACCACAATTAGCATTGTTGATAATTATATAACTTGATCACTTACAAAATGTTTAATGAATTTGAAAACATTCAAAACTAGAACTAGAAGTCTAATTATAGCCGAGCACGTCAATGCTCGCGAGTCGGCACGCGATGTCATTGTAGCTAGCACACGTACCACTACGAGCGACGATGCAGTATTATTATAGCAAGCACACATGATTATTCAAAAGCATTTTTTTAACAACTATAAGAAGTAATTTCATTTATATGGGAAATTGAATACAAACCAAATATATCCTGAACCAAGGACCTCTTTTAAGTAAATCATGTAGTCATTGTGTTATCACATTCTCACTTTATGAATCGAAATAAGGCAGTAGTATTAGAAGTAAAACTGCGGCACAATAATGGTCGGTAAACTTTTAGGCCCATTATTTTACAACCCGGTGTTTTGTATATATGATTTTATTTTTTATTTTATGATTCAAGATGTTCCTTTTAACAAAGTAATTTAGAGCAATCTCTCATTTTCCTTTAGATGTTCCTTAAAAATTACAATTATAGCTAATGAAGTTATGGTTCAATTATATATTCTTCATGTCATTATAGCTAATTAGGGGTATACTCGAACCAATTGAAAAATTTAAAACCTAAATTGCTTCTTACAGGGACTCAATTGATAAGATTGCACTTTATAAAGATCGAAATTGTATCATAGAAGGGCGTGATTGCTGAAATTAAAATGCACGAGGATGAAGCCGAAAGTTTAGAGCGAACGATAGGATCTGCAATGGAGAGGACGACTTGTCGACCACTCCAATGCGAATTCTCTTCGAAAATCTTTGGGAGAATCGCCCAAATCCTCCATAAATTTCTTGTTTTGATTTTGCATTTATCATTATTCTTGGACGAAATTAATAACAAAAAATCAAGCAATGACCAAATTTCATGTTTTGATTTTGCATTAATCATGAATTAAAGAGAAAATATTTTAACGTAAAAATTCAGGATTTAGATTCGATTATAGGAAGTTTTTAGCTACAAAACGAGTCTAATTTCATAGAAAAAGAAGGAGGAAAAAATTAGAGGAAGAATTCTGGTTGAGCGGGAGTGAAAATCGAAAACAAAAGGCTTGATTTGTTGATTTTTAGTCACTGCATTTTTCGGGTTTTCTAGGTTGGTGTTCTTGAGTTTCGGGCTTAGTTCATTGTCCGTCGGTCTCCTTTAATCCTTTTTGGTGTTCTTTTCGGGGTCGATTTTCTATCCTTGAACGTTTCTCAACCCAATTTCCTGAATTTGGGACCTCGTTCTTCATAATTTTGGGTTTCCCTTTTGAAGTTTTGGGCGGCCACTTGAATTTCTTCATGCACCTAGGTTTGCGTTCTTCAATCTTCGGGTGGAGTTTCATTCGGCTTCAATCTGTTGGATCTAATTCTTTGTTTTGAATCTCATTCGGGCATATCGAAAGCAACAGACGTCTTTTTGAGTCTCTTGAAACCATTTTTTAGTTTTAATTTACATCCTTTCGTAACGACAATCACAAATCTAAGAAAAGCTGAAAAATAGAGCAAAGAAGGTAAGAACCCAAAGAACATGAGAGAGAAAGGGTTGAAGGCTGGAAAGTGTGATTTTGATCTAAAAAAATGAAAAGAGGAAGAGTGGGATTTTTTTTGGGTCGGGTATTTAAAAAAAGAGGGGAGAAGCAAGGGCTGGACTAATTTCGATCCAGATCCAACCCATTTACATAAAAAATAAAAAACAAATAAAAAAAGGGAGGGGTTGGATCGTTATCGATCCAGCCCGTAACCCTCCCTTCAAAAGAAAAAGAATAAAACGAGAAGGTCGGCTCCAGTCCGACTTTCCCCCTAAAAAAATTAATAATAATAAAAAGAAAGAGAAAAAAATGAGAGGCCTTGGAAGTCCAACCTCTCGCCATAAAAACAAAAAAAGAAGGAAAAAAAAGAATAAATAAAATGTAATAGGGGAAAATAGAATTAGGGAAAGAAAAATTGGGAAAAGAAAAGGAAAAAGGTAGGAGAGAAATAGGGTGTGGGTTAATGGATTAGGTATAGGATGAATTCTTTTTATGATGTTATTTATTTATCTCGCCTATTTTTTTTAGCTTTTTTATTTTTATTCCTTGTCACTTTTTTTTCTTTATATTAATTTAGATTTGTTACTTCAATTTTTTTTATTTTATTTTCTTTAATACGTATTGTTAGAAAAAAAATTATAAAAATCTTGATGAAGTCTCCTATATGATAAGGACTGACGTCACCAAAAGAAAATGCCTAAACATTTTGGCGAAGCCTCCTACTTGATAGGGACCGATGCCACAAAAAATAATAATAATAATAAATAAATTCGACGAAGTCTCCTATCTAATAGGGACCGACGTCACCAAAAAGAATATTCAAGATTTTCGACGAAGTCTCCTATTTGATAGAGACCGACGTCACCAAAAATTACCTTTTAATTAAGACGTCCTCCGACACGACGGTTGTGTCAAGGCTTTAAGTAGATCCGATGTTTGAACCGACGTGTCACTCAATGAAGGGGACCGACGATCGTTTCAATATGATGCCACGCCCAAAACTGAAAAATTCAATTTGTCTTAAAAAAAATAGGAGTCTAAAAATTAGAAAATAGTTTGACATGGATTTTTAGGAGATGATTTTAAAACTAAACCATACATGGTACCTTTTTTGAAAATGGCACTTTTAAGCGATTAAATATCTTCCTAAAAGTGTAACCAACTCCTTACCTTAGGAATCTCCGAACCAGTGCTACTTTTAGGTTCCTAGTTCCTTAAATACTAGGTGGTGACTCCAACACTCGTATAAATAATTTTATAAATAATCAACGCTTAGATTTAATCTTTCGGGAGTCCCGTCCGATGTCGTGTAGCGACATCCCGTTTGCCCCGCAAGGATCCTCGTCTCCATTTGAGGTGAGGATGAGATGAAAAATTTTGCCCCATTTCGGGCATGAGGCGGGGATGGAGAATTTTTTTAAGGGGCGGGGATGGGGATGGCGATCTCCGCCCCGCCCCATTGCCATCCCTAGCCAATGGTGGTTGTGGTGGTGGAGTCGGAGGTGATGATGAAGGTAGAAATAGTTGATACACAATAAATAAAAATAATATACCGTTATTTTGAAAAAAAATTGCATTTCTATTCTTTATTTTTATTCTCGCCTCTTATATGAGAATAAAATTATGTTTAATTTTTATTCTTAATCCCACTTTTGATTCTTATTTTCACTTCATCCCTTTTTCACCCAAATACTTATAAAATGGTAATAAAACTTTCATTTTTATTTTTCTCATTTTATTCCTTATTATCAAACAACATCTCATGATCATGATTATTGAAAGGAAAAACACATTGTATTTATGATTAAATATAACTCTTGACATTTGATTATTAGTAAAAATGATAGAGGTAATCGTGGTGGTGGTAGAGGAGGAGGAAGTGGTAATAATAGTTGTATAGGAACAGAAATTGGCATTGAAGGAAGGTTGTTGCCATTGATTTTCCGACCTAGTAATAATATATTTTTTAAAAAAATGATACAACCACTATAAGAGGTGGCAATAGAAGAAGAGCGACAACAACGATACTATAATAAAAGTGATAGTTATGGTAAAAAAAAGTAATAACAAAATAATAATAATAATAATAATAATATTTTTTATCACTATCGTCAATGGTAATGGTGGGGATAATGTGATAAAAATGATGATGGTGATGGGAGAATAATGGTGGAATAATGATAGTAATAAAAAAAATTTTAAAATTTTTTTATCGTCACCACTAATAGTAGTTATGGTGATGATAATGGTAATCGTAGAGGTGGCGATAGCAATAGAAATAATTGATACATAATAAATAAAAATAATATATCATTATTTGAAAAAAAATTCTCATTTTTTATTTTTATTCTCATTTCTTCCATAAGAATGAAAGTATGTATAATTTTCATTTATATTTATATTTATATTTTATTTTTTTCAACCAAATAATTACAAAATATGAATAAAATTTATATTTTCATTTTGACCATTCCATTTTTCAATTGCCAAAGAATACCTTAAGATTATGAGCTGAAAAGCTAAAAAATATGTTGATTGACATTATTATAAAAGAGGAGTGGTATTTCAAATTAAACGAGGAGCTTGTAAACACATCTCTCTCTCTCTCTCTCTACTCTATATATATATATATATATATATATATATATATTTGGTTACTCCAAAGTTTATAAATTATAAGGTGGGAATAAAAATAGAAGGGAAAGAAATAGAACTGCCTTTTAAGAGAAGAGAACTCAATCGCAGCCATACGCCCGGCCCAAAAGTATTGGTCCACTCCCAAATCCAGTCTAATTTCGGCTAGGGAGCAAAGGCATCCATTCAGAGTTAACAATTAAAGACCTCCACTAACTCACACTCAGAGAAGGGAGGAAGCAGAAATTAAAACTACCAATGGACAGAGAATGGGGTTCGAAGCCAGGCAGCGGAGGCGCCGCCTCCGCCCAGAACGAGGCTATCGACCGCCGCGAGCGTCTCCGCCGTCTCGCCCTCGAGACAATCGATCTTGCGAAAGATCCCTATTTCATGCGCAACCACCTCGGCAGGTACAGTAGAGTTATATTTTGTGCTAGGTTTTTTCAAAAAAAAAAAAAATTAACATGATTGATTAATGGTTTGCTTGAGGTATTTGTTGATGAATGTAGTTATGAGTGTAAGCTGTGTCTGACTTTGCACAACAATGAAGGAAACTACTTGGCTCACACTCAAGGGAAGCGACACCAGACCAATTTGGCTAAGAGAGCTGCTCGCGAGGCTAAAGATGCTCCTGCTCTCCCTCAGCCTAACAAGCGCAAAGTTAACATTCGCAAGACAGGCAAGTTTCAAGTCTCTCCCTCCCTTTTGATTTCTTCAATTTAGGGTTTTCTTTGTTGTGTCATTTGTGCTTGATTTGCATCGTTTTTGTTTAATATGGAGTGGATGGAAAGTCTGTTGATTGGTTTGGTGTTGAAGTTAGATTAGCTTATACTCAGTAGCCTTAAATTCATCAATGATTGGCTTTGAATAATAGGAGATATTGTTGTTTAAGAAAGAAAAAAAACCTTGTGAAGTTGACTACTTGTTTGGATGATAATTATTGAGGTCAAGGGCTGCAAAATATCACGAATGAAAAAAAGGTGGGGGGGGGGGAGCGATCAAGTTCTTGAGATTGATTGTTTTGGTTAGGTGACAAGTTAAGGGCTTCGACTTAGAACCAAAAGGGGATTATTAGGATTTCATGGGGCTGGACATATTGCATGGCTTGAAGATAAATATAGAACTTGGAACTTGGGTTTAGTGTTAAACCTATGCCAACAATAATATGTTTGGTGGAAAGGAAACTATCCTATGGTACTTTGTTTTCATTTATGGTTTAGTTTGCAGTTTTTGTAGCTTTGTTATGTCTAAGGGTATTGTGGTAATTGTTGTTTATGAGTAGACTGGAGTTCAAACTCTCTGTCTAACTTGGAAATGTCTTCTTATAAAACTTCCAACTTGGAAAGAAAGGGACAGTCTTTCGTTTTAGACAGATTCGGTGGATATGAACTTTACAGTTAAGACTTTGGTTCAGCATAGCTATCTCTACTGTTGAGCACTAATCACATTGTTTTTCCACAGAGATTTGTGTGAGTATCTGTCTGTGTAGTACTTGTTAATGTGTGTTCTTCATATCTCAATTTAATCTGCAAAAATAGTAGTCGTTTGAGACCTCAGATTGGTTTTTAACATCCTAACTGATAACTGCGTAGATGTGACTTGGTTTAGAATGCAATCTAGGAAATTAAATTTCTACTGTACAGACAAGTTATGGTGGAGATGAGCTTGTATGTATGTTGCTTCACAGAGACTTTGTACTTCTGGGTGTTAACAACATATTTTGTTATAATGCTTTGAAAATTTTAAGATGGCGGTATGGTTACTTGATCATAAACTAAAGATTTTATCTTTTGGGTCTTTGGGCAGTCAAAATTGGCAGGCCTGGGTACCGGGTGACAAAGCAATTCGATCCAGAGACAAAGCAGAGGTCTCTTCTCTTCCAAATTGAATATCCGGAGATAGAAGACAATACAAAACCAAGACATCGATTTATGTCATCTTATGAGCAGGTTATCTCCATTTTGGTTTTTTCTTAACTATCTTTTCTGTTGATGTCTTACCTTCTGCACATGTTAAGTGACCAAAAATTTATTTGTCTGAAATGACTTACTAATTACAACTCAGCCTTTGCTTAAAAACTAAACTTTGATTATTGATTTTGTCAGTAACTGCAATAATCAAATGGAGAAACTGAAATTGTTATTGGCAACAATCAAAGAAAAACAAAATGATAAAAACTCTAGAGCGTTATTTATAAAAGTTGTTGCCAACATATTTTGAAATTTAGGCAGTTCGTCAAAAGCAAATGATGTAAAACCAAGTCATTTATTACTCTTACAAACACCCTCTAAAATTCCATCCCTGTTTGCACTGATTTATTGTAAAAATTACTTGATAAATTATGTTCTTTAATCTTGCATTGCACTCAAGATGAATCATGTTTTATGCTTTGATTAATCTTGGCCCCTTATTTCATTTTTTTTTTTTTTCCTGGAGATAAAAACTATGCTTGGATCTCTCTAACTTAGTTTATGTTGTCATGGATGCAGAGAATTGAGGCTAATGATAAGAGGTTTCAATATCTTTTATTTGCTGCAGAACCTTATGAGACCATTTCTTTCAAGGTAAGTTGATAAATGTTTATTCCATGTCTCTTACTTTTAAGTGGATGTTTAGTTCTAGAAATATTTATCATCTGTTCTTGCTTATTTAATCATTCAGGTTCCTAGCACAGAGATTGACAAATCTACTCCTAAGTTCTTCTCACATTGGGATCCAGACTCCAAGATGTTCACAGTTAGTATTTTGATTCTTGCTCAACTGCTTCACATTTGTCTTTTGATTGTCATGCCTGGAGACCTTGTATATTCATGATATGTTATTGAAGTGTTGTATAAGTCTTTTGTGGATTCTCACTTGTGCCTTATTTAACTTGGTCTAGACCAAAAATGTTTTAAGAGACCTGAATCAATTCTAGATTTCACACCTCTGGGTGCGTTTGCCCATGTTCAAGATTCCATTAGTTATGACATCTTCATAAACTGAGTGGACAAAGGTTGTGTACAAGTGGAATCTTTTTGGATTTTAGTACCTACTCTACTGTCTCTTTGGATTAGTCTGTAATCTGGTGTTAAAAATAAATGATCTGTGAATTGTGAATATATCTGACTTGAAATTTCTAATGTACAGCTGCAGTTATATTTTAAATTGAAGCCACCAGAGGCAAACAAACCTCAATCTGTTGCTGCAACCAACGACACAGTGCCTTCCCAACCACCACCACCCCCTCCACCGCAAGGACTACCAGCCGGATCTAGACCCCCACCACCACCGTTGCCTGCATCATTACCCCCTCCGCCTCCCATGGGTAATGGCCCTAGGCCTATGCCCCCAGGTGGAGCTCCACCTGCCCCACCTCCACCGCCCGGTGGCAGTGGTGCAATGGCGAATTTCACACCTGGCACTCAGGTGGGCAGGCCTCCAATGCTGCCTCCCCAAGGTTTTCCTGGCCAACAGATGCAAGGCCAGGCTATACGTCCACCCCCACCACCTCCCAACATGGGACAGTAGGTCCCCTTGTTATATTTTTTTGTTAGCTGATCTATGTAGTTAAACAATCCTTGGACTGAATTGATGGATGAGTGTGTGAAGATCTGGATGTATTATGTAACTCATCGCCTCTAAGCTTAGCAAGAAGGTATTAATTGTGTCATTTTGAAATTCTGAGAAAGAAATAAAGCTGGATAGTTTTATTTCCTTAAACATGCGCGCTATGTTCTTCAGGGTGCTAAGCAGAACCGGATAAAGAGTGCAATCAAGAATGGAATCTGCTTCACTTTGCCATTCCCGTTGTCCCTTGAGCTCTTAGATTAACCAACTTGCTTACAGGCTGCTGCATCTCTTTTGTTCTGCTAACCTTAACCATGGAGCCTCGTTACATGAACCGTATCTAATGCTTAAATTTGACACCATGTAATTTCTTATTGGAAAATGATACTATACAAACTTCAAATGATAAAGTGCAGTTCAATGAATTTAAATGGTTGGTCTTCCAAAAAAAAAATTTACTACGTGTTTGTATGGAATTCTGTGAGATTTGTTTTTGTATAGCATTGGTTTGGTTGTTTTCTTGGTTCAGTTTTATTTTTAACCTGAAACTATTTTCATATTTATATGCATTTATTGTTTCGCCTTTTTTTTTTTTTTTCCTTTCTTTTTGGCTTAAAAACTGATAAACCATGAATTATGAATGATGTTAAAAAATGAACTCTTCAGGTACAAATCAACTAAGAAGACATCATAAAAGACTCTTTCTGGATTGATGCGGAAACTAATTCGAGAATAGTTTTTAATGTATCAAAAACATCCATGGCATATGCTATATATTTTACAAAATATATTCAGTTCAAATAACCTGCCAAATGCACAGAAAAACAAGCTTCGTTTGGTTCAATTTTGTTAACCACGATATGCAAAGCCAGAACGAAGAGATATGTAATTAGGTTCAGTTCAGATATTTTTTTCGAAGGAGTTGGATCGATTTTGACTTCTCAATTCATTGATTTTTTGTGGACGCCTCTTTCACCAAGCACATGGGCACCTAAAAGGGTTACTCACCAACTGGAAGCGTTTCATACTCAATGTTGTAATCAGAATTAAACTCGAAAACACTACAAAACAATAAGAAGGTGAAAACGCATTGCATGATACGTGTACAAGAATTTCATTTGGTCACATGATAACGGAAATACATTTTTAAGCATTTAAGCTCTTGGTTCTCTCACAAGGTAACACACAGGCAAGGGGCATAGACACATCCGGACTAAACTGTATCAGCTTGTATTGACATTAGGAGGGAACACCTTTTGAATGAACTCTAGAAAGCGTCTGGAATAGAATGTTGGATCTACTGCCGAGATAGACAAGGAATCAAATTGAAGAGATTTGTATGCATGCTCAATCTTCTTACTCATGTTGTATTCTTGCAAGATATCAATGACGCCTAGGTACAGAACAACATCATATGCTTCATGAAATGTCTGCTTTTCCTCTTTCCCGGGAATCTGTTCCGCCCTGGAAGGCATATTAACCCCTAGCTGGATTTGGAGTCTGCCCAATAGATATAAAAATAAGTGACGATGCATCATTAAAGTAAAATACATCGATCCAATATAACTTTTTAAACGTAGAAGAAGATATTAGTTCTGTTCGGCATGCTTAATTTGTTCATGGACGAAATATATAGAAACATTTCTGTTATACAATTGCAAAAACAAAGCTCTGCAAGCATTTTGGCTTACAGAACAGAATACACTCCTTCCAGGGAGCTTCTTAGGAATATAATTGGGAAGAAACTATGGGGATGGATTCCATACCTTGCAGTGCCAGGAAGGAGGAGATCCACTTCCTCATCACCAGCAGATGATGCTCGTAATCTGCTACCTCTAATGTGAGGACCCACAACAACACTATCATCTGCTGTTCCACGAGGAACCAAGACAAGACCTTGTGGGTAGTTTTCATCTTCTATGGTATCTGTCAGTAAAATATCACCAACAATTCCAAAATCAAAATATATTCACTCCAATGTGGTCAGATCTCTGTCCAGACAAAATATGATGCCACGCATAATGCATGATATATTGATTCCAATGCTGACTTATGATGTGCACAAGATGATGAAATTTCTTTTGGGTGCTGCTATCAAACTCATCTTAACCAAGCAACTACTTTTGAATCCTTCATCAAGACTCATCTTAACCAAGCAACTACTTTTGAATCCTTCATCAAGAACTTAAAATTGAACACACGCTTAAAACCTAGGACATTAAGCACATAAAAACTGTTAGTTTGCGGTACAAATCATCATGCTTCTTTCCTCATGGTTTAATCATATTTACAAACTATTAGTATCAGAAACATGTTCTGTAAATTAACTTTTTGTGTTCAGTTTCTTTCTTTTGTGATTTTTCCCACTTTCTCCAGCTTTGCTTCGAGCAGCCTGAATGACCTGCTAAAAGAACATCAAATATAAGATAAGTCATAAGGCACCCACCTTCCTCTGCTAGAACTCCCAATCCTTCAGCAGTTATACCTCGGTTGTAAGACATCAAAGACCTTAAGTGTTGTGGGGCTCGATAATGCACACCCAGCAAAAGGCTGTAATCCATAATGTGCTGTGCTTCCAAAAATTTGCTATCGATCTCAATCTGCCTGCATAAAGGTGTAGACAAAGAAAAAAGCAAAATGGTTAGCACATTGCGATGAGCTCAACAGTATAAGACTGTCAGTCTGAAACTTGTAAAGCCAGCCATGCCAGGCCTTGCATTGACCTTTACACATAATCTGGCAGCATTTCCATGGAAATTATCATCGTCTAATAGACAATATGGATATTGATGGTAACATTGTTTCACACACATAAAATTGCAAACTTGGGAATCACAATATATGATATAATTGGAAGCATTACTCACTGTAATAAAGCTTCACGCCAAGAAGGTTCAAAATAGAAGCAGTAGTCTAGATCCAAATCTTTAAGTGTTGTGTTCTCATCAATCTCAACATTGTCTGTAGACCGTCCTAAAGATGACCCTTTCAAATCAAACCTTCGATGGATCCTTAATTCTGTGCAGAACATATTTCCCATCACTACAAAGCGAAACTGCAATACAGGAATTAGTTCCCAATCTTAGCTTTTTAAAGCAGGTGTTCATAAATGAAGCTTTAGGATAGGATAATAATGACTTGATACAAATTTGATTAAAGCATTTCGTGAACTAATTGCACATAACAAATGGAAGTAAGCAAACATCTTATGGCATTATGATAAAACAAAAAGGCCACTGGCGTAGATTAAAATTATAATTCATGGTACCTTTTGACCACTTGAAGGTTTAATCCTGTGAAGACCAAAGAATTTTGTTATGAGTGTATTCTCATATGACCTCACATGATGATGATAGTCCGGCAACATTTTCAGAAGCACCTATATGTATGAACTCTGGTGAGTGGAATTGTGAACATAACAGTTTAACAATAAAAGCAACTAAAAGAGCAAGCATAAGAAATTTATACTTTTAAAAGACGCTTTGTTAGTTGCTAAAAAAAACATTCCTAAAATGCGTACAAGGTATCGTCCATGTCACAGGGTAGCAGTAATAATGCTTGAATATGAAGTAGGAGAGGTTCACTGTTCAGAAGGGGCATTTATGATCCTGTTGTTCACTGTCAAAATAAAAACCCAACAAGTCCATTGTCTAGCATTTAAGTTACTGGGTCCACTTGCAGTTGGAGGGTATTATGCATAGTTCAGATCATCAGCTAGCCTCCACTATGTACCTTTACTTCAGACTTCCGGAGTGTCTTAATCATGAAGCGGTCATCCTGCGATAGGAAAAAGATGCTACCACTTTTCCCAGGAGAGGAAAGTTCTCTAAGAGCATCATTTCCACAAATGGACATCATGTAGTCAGCCGCATCAATCTTGAACATCTCCCTCAAATTCCTACAGAAAGCATTAAGAATGGCATATCAGCATGGAAAAAAAAGAAACCCAAGACCCACAGATATATGGAAATGACGCATCAAAACTAAAGGCGAAGTTTTACAGGTAATCCCATTTCCAATTCCTTTTCTTTATAAAATTTAACTGCAGAAAGCTAATTCATGGTTAAAAGATTTTATCTGTACAGAACCAAAAGAGTGAGCATACATATCCTAAGTACATTCAATGTCCTCCACAATAGACAGAGAAAAATACAAGCTTAAATGTTTGATGATACCAAACAGAGTCTATAGTTAAAATGATATCGATTGGCTGGTTTGAAACCCTTAAAATCATTATTTTCTTGAAACTAAGAGATTAAGCACTCAAGACATTTTTAGGCTATAGAAAAAAACAAAAATAAAATAATAAGAAATAAGCATCATTAGATTAAATTTACATGGAGTTTAAGCCGCCCCACCATGTGGAAGCAAGTATACCAAACATATTATCAAAATTGTGTACCACAATGATGCAGGACAGCTTAGGGGCTGTTCTGTACTGAAGTGAATTTCCGCTGGAATATGATGAAGGATGTGGAATAGGTTTCTAGTAGTCACACCTAGAGGATAAAAAAACCTAAGCTTCACACCTTGGGTTCTTAGGAGTCCCACCTAAAGAAGATTGAGTCACACAATCAAAAGCAAATTGCTAGAATTTTATTCATAAACTGTTACTGAAAATATTGAAAGACTACATGCTTATTTATAGAGTTCTAGTAGTCCAAATCCAATAAGGGCTTAGATTACTAAATGAGAAAATACTAAGTCTATGTAGAATAGCAAAAACCTAATAAAGCTAGTTACTCCTTAGGACTAATAAAACACTAAAGAGAAAATAAAACCTAAACTTAAGACAAATTTCCAGATTTTCTAGAAATTACAGAAATACCCTTGTCTGCAAAAAGATACAAGTTTCGCTTCCTTCATTGCCCGCATCATTCTCCCCTGGTTGGAGAAAAATCGATCTCGAGTTTTGAAATGTCAAAGTAGCAAAAACCACACGTTCCACACCTCATCCCGTAGCTTGAAACCACTCCCTTGAGCTTGATACCAATTACCCTTTGCCATAAGTGAAAACAGTGAGGAAAGCATGATGCCTTTCTCTATAATTGAATCACCAAACTTGGGTGGAAGAAGGAAGTCAATGTGATTGATTTGTACAATTTGCTCATCTCTGTCTTTAGTAACCTTAATGCTGTGCTCTTGTTCCTTCATGATATCTACTGTCTTTAATATCCTTAATGTTGTGCTCTTGTTCCTTCATGATATCTACTGTCTTTTGCGTGACCTCGTCTTTTAGTTGTCCCCTGAATTTCTTTCCTACATGCTGATTTTCAGTTTCTCTTTTTGCTGAACTTTCTCTTCAGACCTTCCAGCATCCCTTTGTACTGTTTTTACTTTTTACCTTCATTTTATGGCCCTTAGGTTACTGGAATTGTTCTTCACGTTGTTGTCCAGGTTGAATAGATGGCTGCCCCAGTTTTGCTGCCAATAGTGTGAACCTTTTTGCTTCCAAAAGTTGAGGACCAGCTCTTGTTGCAGCTTTTGATTTGAAATATCTTCGTGCTGCATTAATTTTTCTTCACTAAGGTCGTCTTTCTCAGCATGTACCATCTTTATTGTTGACTGTATTGCAAGCTCCAATTGTTGGTTTAGCCTTTCAACTCTCAGATTCGATTGTTGTGTAGGATTTATAACCTTCAAGGCTTGTTCATCCAAAGGATACACGACTTTAATATGGTGCTTAGTATTGCAGTACATTCTCAACACAATAAAATTTGAATATCGAATATCCAGCCTACAACCATTACTATAGATAGATACACCATCCTTGAAGTGAAGCTCTAGCTATCACAGCATTTTTATAACATTTAAAGTTAATGAAGGCTAATTCTTCAAACATGATTATAAATCCACACAGCCATACCGATCAAACACTTGAAGTAGCTCTTCCTCTGTAACAGGATACAGCATGAGAGACATTCTAATCAACAAAAGCAAACTCAATTCAAAGTTTGCCTCTGGTACTTCTCTCTTAATCGAGCCATAATGATTTCTGTGATGTCGATAAGTGTAAGATTCATGTTCTATCCTTCAAAACTTCTATTGGGAAACAAAGTAGCTTCTCTTGAATATAACCAAACCAAATTACAGAATAACTTCAACAAGAAAACCTAGAAAACGAACCGATTTCAGCAGTGTAACTCAGCAACAATGACAAAGAAAACAGCAGCAGAACTTCAGCAAGGATTGAACCATGACTATGCAGCGATCAAGGGATTAGGATGAAATTAAACCGCCCTTTCACTCAAGTTTAAAATTGCGGCAGAGAATGGAGTAGAATCAAATCGAAATATCAAGTGGCGTTTGCGGTGGGGATCAAGGTTTTGCTCTGATACCAACTGATGCAGGACAGCTTAAGGGCTATTCTGAATCTAACTTTTGGAGGCTGTTCAGGGGTGTTTAGGGTTGTACTGAAGTGGATTTCTGCTGGAATATGAGGAAGGATGTGGGATAGGTTTCTATTAGTGACACCTAGAGGACAAAAAACCTAAGCTTCACACACCTAGGGTTCTTGGGAGTGGCACCTAAGTGAGATTGAGTCACAAAATCAAAAGCAAATTGCTAGAATTTTATTCATAAACTTTTATTGAAATTATTGAAAGACAGCACGTTTATTTATAGAGTTCTAGTAGTCCAAATCCAATAAAGACTTAGATTCCTAAAATAAGAAAAATACTACGTCGATGTAGAATAGGAAAAACCTAATAAAGCTAACTACTCTTCAGGACTAATAAAATACTAATAGAAAATAAAATCTTAACTTAGACAAATTTCCAGATTTCCAGAAATCACAGAAATACCCTTATGAACAAAAAGATACAAGTTTTGCTTCCTTTGTTGTCCGCATCACTCAAAACTTCTGTCAGAGAAAAATTGAACAAACTTTTGTCCGCTATGTTCAATTTGAGCATGGATACTACATGTTGATGCAATATAGGTTTGTTAAAAAACATAAAAGAAAGAAAATTGCAACAATCAGATAAGATGAATTAACCTGATTTACAGATGAATATAGCTTGTTAATTGAAGTGTAGGAAAAATATAAATCTAAGGTGAACTTAACAAGACAAACAAAACAAATAGGATCTGCAGATAATTCTCAAAATTTTGATAAACTGAAGGTGAATCAAACAAACCTGAAAACCATTGGGCAGTAGTCTTTCCACTTAAAATCCTCTGATTGGTGGGGAGGTGTCAATTGGGATCCATCTTTCGGAAAATTCATCCAAAAGCTTGCCCTTGGACCAAAATCTGAAGCGCGAACTTCTCGCCTCTGTACAGGTGTAATTTTCCCAACAGTATACCTGACCACATTCTGACGCATATTAAATGCTTGTGAAACATGGGATAATATCAAATGCAATATGCTGATTCCTGAAAAAATGCAGATGGCACTTTCAGGCATTTTTGATGACAACAACAACAACAAAGCCTTAATCCAAACTAGTTGGGGTTGGCTATATGGATCTTTTTGTGTCATTCCGATCGATCATAAACCAAATCTGCCTCAGGCAGTGCTGACAATACAGAATAGCGACATTTCCACATCAAATGGCATGCTGAGAGCTACATAAATGTCAGAAACCACAGAAAAAGGACACTCTCTAAAGTGGAATGGTAAGGTTGATACTTATGTCCAAATTCCAAGGTACATTAAATATTTAGGAAGAGGGGATAAAGCACAGTGCTCAACAATCGTAGGTTGATTATAAAGAGAAACTGGACGGAAGTGACGAGACTTTTTTAGTGAAGATTGCAAGTGACCTTGACACAGGATGAGGAGACATAATAATGCTCGCAAGATTGAGTGTACCTTATTCCAAGCTGCAGACTGAGCATTAAATCATAACTCCTATGCCCTTTAATGATAGTTTCACCAGGCCTCTTGATCTCTTTTGCAAGTTTCTTCTGTAGCCTTTTTGTTCTTCTGGATGATGAAGAAAAATTACTATTCAACACAAGTTCGCTAATTAGAACACCTTGCATATATTCTCGTTCTAAGATTGGCGGTGTGTTTGTTTCAAACTCCTTCCCTGGTCCTTCAGATAAATCTAATGATGAATCATGTCCTATGACCTTTTCAATAGATACCTCAAGACTCCAGCGCCTTTCCAGAGAAACATTTTTGTTTCGAGATTGCTCCAAAGTTAACAAGTTTCCCTTGGACAGTTTATCGGATGAATTACGACGAGATCCCTGGTTCTCGCCTACCTTGACATTTCCCATATTGACCGAAGATGCATGATGAATATGTGCGTGGTTCTGCTTTCTTAGATCTGGAAGTACCCCCTTTTTCTTAGAGCATTGAGATACCGTTCTTCTACAGCTTGTAACCGGCTCCCTTTTGGATAAAATGATCCTTTTCCGTCCTTCAAACCACACGTCCAAGTTCCAACATAGCAACCACCATCACTCCACGTATACACTCCAAATCCATGCATCATACTATTTAACCAGCTTCCTTCAAATGAATCCCCATTTGTCCATGTAAGAGTCCCCTTCCCTGCCATTTTACTCCCTTTCATATTCCCAAGATAGACATTACCATTAGCCCAGGTATACTTGCCAGGACCCTCTGGACTTCCCTGTATCCAAGAGCCCTCAAAGATATCTCCGTTAGGATAAACCTGGGATCCCAACCCATGTTTGAGATTCAAACGCCATCTTCCTTTATAGGTCAAGTTATTGGAACCTACGTAAGTCCCTGCACCATGCATATATCCACCTGAAAATTCACCCTCATAAGCAGCTCCAGAAGGCCACTGAATTTTTCCATTCCCATGCCTCATGCCCCTTCTCCATTCACCTTCATATACACAACCATCTGACCATACATATTTCCCATTCCCCTCAGGTACATTGCCAAGTAATGTTCCAGAATATGATTCCCCATTGGGAAGAACAAAATCCCCAACGCTAAAGGCTGTACTTTCAGATGAAGCACGGAAAGATTCACCATTGATTGATATAGATGAACGGTCTCTGTCAGAGATGGCATCAACAGATTTCGTCCTGTCTACAGAAGTCAGTGCTTGTTCCACATTATCAACAATAACCTCAGGGGCAGACATGCATAATGCCCAAAAGGTCACAATTACTTACAAGTTTACAGGCGACCCCGAATTTCTCATGGGGCGATGTGCCTATGTTGACTCCATAAGAAGATTTTACTAAGAGATTCCGGCAACACCTTTGAGTATTTTTCGTCCTTGATCTGCACAGAGAAGGGAGGATAGATACTTGTTATTGACAGCAGAAACATGAAATGGACGGCCATTCATACATACTAGTTATCGACTTTCTTCAACATAAGCAAAATTGATAATACAGATTCACGAGGGGAAAAAAACTACCAGAAATGAACTGATAAACAGAGCCCATCAGAGGAAAACTAAGAACAAAATTATGCTCCAATTTCAAAAAGAAAAAACTAGATTAAAAGAAGAAGAAGAAGAAGAAGGATCCATAATAAGAAAAAGTCAACTGGTAGATAAGAAGGAAGAAAAACAAAAAAACAAAAAGAAGAAGCACCTTATTACCAAATATTGGCTTGGCTTTTGATTAAGAAGTGTCCATCATGAACATCCAAAAGTTCCTTTTTGGTTGTGACTCACAAAGGTGTATTCAAAAAGAAAAAACAAAGTGAAATTTGCTGACAAACTTCATTCTTTGTTTGTTTCCAAAAGGGAAATGAAAAATTCATTTCCCAGTGCTTGATTTTCAGAGACTATGAAATACAAATCCTCCAATTACCCACCTGTTTTAACTGCTAATTCCAAAAAAATCATGAGTACTCAAACATTCACTGTAGAAACCAATTCACTTCACTTGAATGAAAAGAAAAAAAACAAACTTTTGAGATTGCTTTCAAAGCAGAATACGGTTTGCCTTATCTTAACTCAAACAAATATAATAAATCAACAAAGAACTTCGGCATGGAATCTTCCTCGAAAATAAATAAATCTGCAGTAAAATTAATAATAAAGAACAAAAACATTTCCACGAAATTAAAAACCAAAATGAAATCCTTATACCTCATCATCAAGTTCCAACCCATCTATCTTTCTCATTGCTTATGCATACATACATACATGCAGAGAGGGAGAGAGATAGAGAGAGAGAGAGAGAGAGAGAGAGAGAGAGTACCTTGAATTTGGAAGGAAGAGAAAAAATTAGAGAAGGAAGTACAAGCAGCGTTGCCGAGCAACTTGTTTCTGTGGTTGCTCTTGTTCTGGCGCTCCCTGAATTTTGCTAAGAAAACAATATTCTGTCTTTTTTCTGAAACTCTCAACTATCCCTCTCTCCTCTTCCCCTTTCTATGAGTTTAAGAAAAGATCAATCCTTTCGAAGTTGACAATTATGGATCGAATCCCAATCCAAAAAAAGCTGGATGGAGCTGCTCAGCTGCACTCTAAAGACTCCCTCTTGTCAAGTTGTTAAAACTACTGCCCAGAAAGAAAATAACTAATAGTACTTTTTCTTTTTTTTTCACGTAACCTCATTCAATGTTAAAACAAGATTAATCATATTCTAAATAAAAATAATAAAATTTAATTATTTTTAATAAATATATTCAAAATTCCTACAGTAACAGAAAATTTTGAAATTAGCAAACAAATATATTTAAATTTTGTATAGAGACAAAAAAATTTAAAATTAAACCAATAATTTATTGATAATAATATAATAACTTATTATCCGAACAAATAAAATACGAAACATATATATTATTTTCAAGTATAAATCCGATTAAATCAATTATAGGTTTCCTTGTCTAGAATCCATTAAAGACAAATGAAGAGTTCAAATGATTCGTATTCAATTTGTTATTTTTATCATTATTTGAATTTGAAATTTATCTATGGTTTTGTATTTTATTTAGAGATTTTAATATTTTAAGTTTCATATATAATTTTTTTCCTTTGATTTTTTTTATGATGTGTTATGTAATTGATAATTAATAATTTATTTTAAAACGTGGATGAACATCAATCCAATAAAAAAAATAATATATATATATGATTGTAGATATTTTGAGTTGGATATAAGTACGAACAGAAATCGTTGGAGTCGACTTTTTGTCATTTCTACAAAAAGAAACTTACGTTTTGAGTTACATCAATTTTTTACTTTTGAATATATTTTAATAATTTCAGACAGTTGAGGGTAATAATTGGTGAGATTGGCTTGATTGCTCTTGTTTATTATTAAATTTGAATTTCTACAGTTTTTTTTTTTTTTGGTTGCCAATCAGGACCTATTTATCGGTATTTAATTTTTTATGCCTTTTTTTATAATTAATTGATACTTGGTGATACACCCTTTATGGTACAAGACAAACCGTTTTAAACTGTGACGGTTTGACCTTGGTGTTGAGGGTGCTTGATTGTGACTTTGGCGGCAATCGTGAAAAATTAGATAAATAATAGTAATACCTCAGCGTAGTCGTCGTATATTAAAGTTTGGCTTCTTCTCTTCTCTTCTCTTATATTAAAAACTAACCACTAATTATTATGTCAAAAAAAAAAATAGTACTCTTTTCGTCTTATAAAAATCGTTTTTTATTTATATTTATTTTAAATAATTTTTCTGATAAAAAATTAAGTGGTTTATTTTGTAAAAATATCTTAAATTAAAATTTATTTTACAAAAAATTATTCAAATACAATTATAAAAATAATATTTTAAAAATATAAACAAAAGATACTAATATGATATAATAATTAATAATCCTATTCATATGCGTAAAAAGTCAAATAGAATAGTTTTTAAGACATAAAAAGTAAGTATTTATGATAATTATAGTTGAAGATTATGGTTTTGACAGAATAATACTATTTGCAATCCCATTTGCAAATATTTCGGTTAACCCTATGTTATGCATTAGAAATTACGTTATGGATGTTTTGATTTGTAAAAAACCTCTTCTACTATTGGATCTTTTGTTGTTAGGAAAGAGTCTTTTATTGGGCGGAATTTTTTCTCATTTAGGTTTGTTAAGTTCAATAAAGACAATTATGTTATTAAGGTGGATGGACTAACATCGGCAGAGGGTGCTCGTGTGACTTTTCGGGAGTTTGGCTTCATGGATTCGCCTAAAACGTTAGCACATGTTTAGTTTTAAATATTGAACTTGAAGGTATTTTAATTAATATTGAACATGCCTAGAATGATATATATATATATATATATATATATATATATATATATTGAAGATAGAGAAAAAAAGTATAAAAACATCTTTAATACTTGAATCAATTCATGTCCAAATTTTTTAAGTTATTAAAATATGAATTGCAATTTATAATATTTATCATGAGAATGAAAATTGATTATACTTTCATGGACACCGGGAGGAAAATACAAATACGCGATACATGGACAGGATTTTCATATGTTCAAATTACTAATAACTTACTTAATTATGAATAAATGAACAGTCGAAATTGGACCAACCTCATCGCCACGTCGCGGAGTCATACCACTATGGCGAAGTTACTACTACACCGTAACATGATTTCTTTAAATTAATTATTCATGGCCCATTTTGAGCTTTAAATTTATCGACAAGGCTTGCGATAACGGGAGTTGCCACTTAACTAATCGAAAAGAATTAGAAAACCCTAGACATACCGGTCTATATAAATATCTAGATAAGAGGGCAATTATGTATATAGAAGCTATAATATTACCGTCATCTTGTCCCGCTCGAGGTAAGCCTGCATTGCTTTCATTTGAAAATAAAAATCTAGTTTTACTATGTTATGTTTCTATGCCTATTTGAGTGGATTTATTTTACCGGGATGGAATAATTCGAGGTTTAGGTCGGTTCGAGGCCAATGCCCATACCCAAAGAGGAAAGGTGGAAAAAATTAGAATTTTAACTAATATTTAGCGGATACAACCTATACCGATAAGTAGACGACTACGTTAGTTTCTAAAAATTGATAGCCTTTCACTTTATAATATTTTCCATGAGTATGAAAATTGATTCTACTTTCATGGACAAGAGGAGGAAAATACAAATACACGATACATGGACAAGATTTTGATATTTTCAAATTACTAATAACGTACTTAATTATGAATAAATGAACAATCGAAATTAGACTAACCTCATCGCGAAGTCATACCACTATAGCGAAGTTACTACTCGCACCGTAGCATGATTTCCTTAAATTAATTATACATGGCCCATTTTGAGCTTCAAATTTATCGACGGGGCTCGCGGGAATATGAGTCGTCACCTAATTAATCGAGAAGAATTGGAAAACCCTAAACATAATGTTTTGCATAAATATCGAGTAATGGGTCGATTACGCATGAGAAGATATAACATCACCGTCATCTCATCGTACTTGAGGTAGGTCTGCATTGTTTGTATTTGAAAATAAAAATTTGGTTTTTACTATGTTATGCTTCTATGTCTATTTGAATGAATTTATTTTATCGAGATGGAATAATTCGGGCTTTAGGTCGATTCAAGGCCAATACCCATACTCAAAGAGGAAAGGTGGAAAAATTAAAATTTTGACTATTTTTAGCAAACACGACCTATACCAATAAGTAAATAAGTAGGTTAGTTTCTAAAGATTGATAGCCTTTTATTAACATGAGTAGCAAGTCATCGATAACTTCACTCACATAAGTTAGAAGTCATCGACGACTTTGAGTCATGAATTTAAGAAGTTACCGACAACTTCATCATATAAGTGGAAAGTCACCGATAACTTCATTTCGCTTCAATAAGAAGTATATAACAAACAATTGATTAAAATCCACGGACGACTTCGATCACATAAATAGGAAGCCACCGATAAATATATTTTTGACAAACGGAAGATAAATAAATTAATTTAGAAGTTACTAGTCGCTTCTTCATATAAGTAGGAAGTCATTGATGGTTTTATTTTGACAAATAAGTAACAACTAAAAACCTTAAGTATAGTCGGATAGAGTATTTAACGAGTACAATCATTCATAACACAACATTTTCAACATTCACATTCATCATTTTGAACGGTTCAAATAATTTTAGAATTACCTAAATGTCATGAGAATGTTAGAAGTC